GGGCTGTGTGGCCAGAGGAGAGGGAGAGGATGGTGCAGTCCTCACACCCGCCTAGGGGCCTCTGTAGGGCAGAAGACCCAGTGCTGCTTAGGGCTGGCTGCGAGGAGACCTGGAGACATCGAGGCTTCCCTCTGAGGTCCTGACCAGCTGCTAGAGAGGGACAAGAGACGCTAGCCAGGAGCCTGGCCCACAGCTGGGGTGCTGCAGAAGGGCTCCCGCTGGATCTGGTGCAGCGAGGGGGTGGCTGGAGGGTCTCTGAATCTCCTCCCGCTCAGATGTGGAGAGCAGCGCCCCGTGAGTCACCGCCTGCTCCTGTGCTGACTGATGACGCGTATTCCGTGTGCTGGGCCACCGCTGCCTGAGCCGAGACTCATAGGAGGACCGGGCGGCTGCTGCTGCGGCCAGTTCCAGGCTTCATCACTGGGCTTAGGGGGCAGGAGGAGGTCAGGCTAACCCCGGTTAAAGGGGGGGATGGTGTGCCACTGGGTCCCCTCACACTCCTCTTGGCTCACTTATCTATTACGCATCCCCTTCACGCTAGGCCAACCTCCAGGGTACCACGCTGTGTGACCTTGGGAAGTGTCTCCCCTTCTCTGACCTCAGTTTCCCCAGCCGGACCATGAGGAGGTGGCCTTTAAGGTCTGCTTCAGGCCTGAGATGCTGTGTCGATCATTGACTCTTCCTAAGGAGGGAAACAGATAGAGATGGGCAGGCAGGGGGTCATAGAGGGCCTGACCAGCCCTGAGGGTCGGGGTCACCCTGGGGCACCCGAAGGCTCTGAGCTGTCTTCCTTTGCCAGAAGCAGAGCAGCAGAAGCCCAGGATGCACAGACTTGGGAACCAGACTGCTTGGGCTCACTTCCCTGGTCCGCCATGAATATGCAGTGTGACCTTGGGGGAGTCGCTGAGTCTCCCTTGGTCGCCTCCTCTATAGAAGGAGGAGGGTGCTAGGAACCACTTCAGAGGCTTCAGGAGGCTGGAGGAGTTATTGCACACTTATTACTTGGAAGACAGCCTGGCACAGACTGAGTGTTTGATAGATATTAGCCATTGGCCAATAACTGTGGGTTTAGTAGGCTGTTGGGGGTGGAGAGCCGCCAGGGTGCGCAAAGCCTGCCCAGGAAGCCATGAGTCAACAGTACTGATCATACAGAGAGCCCCCGCTGGGGGCCAGGCTCTGGTACCCTCTGCAGTTTTTGTAAATAGTTGAGGGCCTTGAAGTAATACCCAGGAGACAGGCACTACGGTTACTCCCATTTTACAGAGGTTACAATGGAGGCAGGGAAGGCTCAAGCTGCTTGCCTAAGATCCTGAGGCTAAAAACTCTAGCAAAAAGGATTCCTTTGTCTGCCCCGTTAAATGTCCCGAGGCAGAGTTTGTCCTCAAAGCCCACTGCCCTGCAGAGCCTAGACCCAAGAGCAAGGTCCTGGGACATGGGTAAACAAATCATCCTGAGACATTTTAAGTGGTTGGGTCCAGGAACCTGATGACCGTCCTCAGAGCTGTGGTGGCTTGGCCCTTGTGGAGTGGGTCACCTGAGGAAGAGGCAGTGGAGTTGGGGTGGAGGAGGAACAGCTGATAGGGTGGCAGACTGGGGGCCTCAGAAGACTGTCCTTGAGCAGCGGAGCCACACAAGTGCCTGGAAGAACACTGGTGTGGGGACAGGACAGGTGACCTAAGTTTGCAAATTCTGGGCTCTGCCCATCAGGTCCAGTGCAAGGTGTGGGCAGGGACAGAAGCGCCTGGAGGGACTGAGGGTATTAGCACCCTGGGGAGGCTATAGAAAGTGATCTGAGGTCCCCAGAGGTGTGTGGTTGGGAAATCAAGGCCCTAGAGCCCCAGGTCCTCTCTCCCTGTCTTTGCTGGGGAGTGCCTGCCCAGTTGCACAGGGGATGGGCTGTGGCAGGGATGCAGGAGAGTGCAGCATGGGCGTCAAGAACTCTGGGTCTGGTTCCAGAGGAGGTGCTGTGCGGAGAGCCCCCAGCTCCCTTACCCCGTGCCCCTGGACTGAGACGTCTCTCTGCTGGCTCCTGTGGTAGCTTGAGCAGCCTGATGGTGATGCAGATTGCCGTGAAGGGAAGGGCTGGGCTCGGCCCTCTTCTCAGTCCACTGAAGCTGTGGTGGAGGAGCTGCTTGCAGAGCAGGGCGCGCACCCTGCAAGCCCAGGCCTTCCCATACTTGTGTGCACGTGCTCGTGTGTGCCTGCGCTCGTGCCCGTGCCTGTACCCAGGTCTGCATTCATGAGTATCTGGATGCCTTGATGTGTCTGGATGACTACAGACGGAGCACGAGCATCAACATTTTCATGTCCTGTTTGATAGATGTGTCTGAATGTCCCAGTCTCGGCTGCTGCTTCTGCACGTGATTTGGTTCTAAGAGTGTGTGTCTGTCACCATGAAGGAGTGTGTGTGTGTGTGTGGCGTTGTCTGCTTGGTCCTCAGGGGGACCAGGAGCTCTGTTTCCCTGTTTTTGACCTGTTCCGCCCTGTGTATCCCATCTTGGGAGTTTATACTGAGACTTTCAAGTGGGAGCCCTGGGGATCCGTGTCTCTTTTGTCTTTGTGAGGTTGACATGTCTTTATTGCATCTCCGTGGACCTGTTTCTGTGTATTTGTGCGTGTGCGCACAGCGTGTGGATCAGAAAGAGAATTTCGGAGATCAACCAGCCCTCACCTGCCCCTGCTGCCATAGGCCTCCTGTTGGAACCCTTCAAACCACAGCTCTGTGTGCACACTTCTGGCCTCTACTAAAGGTTAAGACAAACCCTTAGAGTTCTAATTCTGCACGATGCCACCTGGGAACACAGAACAGGACTGACCCCGGAGAGGCTCTGATTTCTCTCACGGAGGTGTCCTTTGAAGCTCTGCAGGTGACTCCAGTGGGCAGCCCAGGTTGCACACGGACCGGGCTGAGCAGTCACAGCTTGGGGAGGAGGCATGGGCCACCCTGTGGCGGCAGCTCTGTCCTATAGTGGGCCTTGCTTGTGCCGGCTCAGGCGGTCCCTGAGGACAAGGAGCTCTGTTTTTCTGTTTTTGACCTGAGGTTGTCCAAGGTCCAGGGCAGTCACCCCCTGATCTCAGAGGTTTCTGCCTTGCAGTAACTTCTCTCCCCGCTCTGCTGTCCYGGAGAGATGGCCTCCAGCCTCTGCTGAGGATCACTGGGACCAGGCACTKCTCTATCCCAGCAGGAAGGACAGGAGGCCATCTCTCTCTAAGCAGAATCTTGTACTTCCCAGGGCAGATGGAGGTGACTGAGTCCTTTGGGAGCCCCCCAGGGCCATGTCAGAGGCAGCCTATAGCCACCAAGGGTGTGTAGGAAGCTGGGAGAGGGTACAGGAGGTGGAAGCTTGGGTGTCTGGTGTAGCCAGTCCTTGGTGTCTGCCAGTGCTGGGGCCAGTGCTTTCCATCCTCCCTGACCCGCAGTCAGCACTGGACTTCTCAGGGTCTCTTGAGGTACCTAAGGCTTGTCTCAGCATCTCTGAGTGAGCCCTGGGCTGGGGATGACATGGGGGCCCCTTTTGTTGAGCCTTCCTGCAGCAGCTTCTATTTCTCCTTTGGGTGCTGGCTCATCACCAGCTTGAGCTTGGAGAGGCTGTAGGGGAGGCCAGAAGAGATGGACGGAGACATGGTTAGGTCGAGAGCTGGGCACAGGGGACCAGGGGTCACAGCAGCTGTGCACACTGGGCATGCACTTGCAAGGCCTAGTGGTTGCAATGCAGGGGCAGCGCTTGCTCCAGCCCCTTTTGTCCCAAACCAGACACGTGCCAGGTAGCGGTGCCCCTAATTTGAGCCTACTCAACCTTTTCTATAGCAATTTAATAATAACAGTAATGACGATTTTAAGCTGAGTGTGTGGTATTCCATTGTGTGGCCCTGCAGAGCCTGTTTAGCAGCGCGTGCTGGGTGGCTGCTGCTCTGTCCCCCTTTTTTTTGTCGCAGATGCTATTTTAAATGATGCCGTAGTAAATAGCCTTGCTTATCCTTCTTTTGGTTCAACTGCAAAAATTTCCCAGATGTGGAGTTGCTGGGTTGCAGGGTGTATGTATTCGTCATCAGTTTCAGAAGCAGAATATCCTCTGTTGGGAGTGAGCTGGGTCCCTGCAGCTCCTCAATTGACTCCGTGTAACCTCTCTGGTCCCTGCCAGGGTCCCAGTCTTTGCATGTTTGTCTTCTTGGGGGGTCCGGGTAGCTCTGAGGCTTGAGCACACCCTTTAGTAGTCACTGTGCTTTCTGTGTCACTTGTTTCTTGAGGACAAAGTGGGGTGAGGCAGGGCAAAAAGAAGGTATATTCTATAAGGTGCCAGCCTAAGTGGCTGGAACAAATGGGTCCTTAAGAGAGAGTAAATTAGGTAGAAGTTTATTTCCCTTGCAGTGCAGTCTGGGGCAAGGTAGGCCATCCAGGCTGCTTAGCTGCACTCAGTGGTCCTGGCTCCTCTCAGAGCATTGCTCTCCCCGCCCACAGCTGGCATCCTTGTCTACACTCGGGAAGGGCAAGAAAATAGGAGAGGAGAGCATGCCAAGCCCTTGTGTATGGGATGCTGCCCACRAGGCTCTCCTGCTGCCAGTCGCATTCCTTAGATGCCAGCTTGATCCCATGCTCAGGAGCGGGGGAGACAGGGAAGTGTCACCTTTGGGTGGGCAAGCCGGTGCTAGGCAAAGCTGTCCATTTGTTGTGGAGCAAGGGGAGCATGCCAAGGTCGGGGAGACAACTGGTCTGCGGCAGATGAGAAAGCCATTCCAGACCGACCGTTCCAGTAKACTGTCGGGGCTGAGCCAGCCTGCACCCCACTCTATCCTCAATATCTAGAGGATGTAGACCCTGGGCCTCTCCTGTTTGTAGGAGTCGAAAGAATAGGATGGACGGCTGCAGGCCTGGAGGGAGTTTGCATGGGAGGCTGGGGACCAGGCTGCAGGTGGGTGGGGGAACAACCTAGGACTCACGCCTTTCCTTCCTCCCTAGCCTGTGGACCTCTGGGGGCTGAGCAGCGGCTGCTGGCGTGGGAGGCCAGCAGTGCCGGCTGAGGAGCACCATGGCCAGTGTCCTGCAGGTYCCCCTGGCTGCACTCCTCCTGCTGCCTGTGGTAAGCCCCGGGACCCTCCCCTCCATGAATCTGCAGCTCAGGCTCACCTGAGGCTTTCCCCAGAGAACCTATGACTTTTCTGTGTCCTCATCCAAGCTGAGATACTTGACTGGTATCTCTGCCAACATCCTACTGGACCATCTAGCACCTTTGTGTGAATTAGAAGAATGCCCTTCCTTAGGATGCTGGACTGATTAGCCCAAATAAATTTGAAATTTCAAATTTATTACGAGAGTGGCATGTGTGGTCACCTTTGGAGTTGTGCTCAGCCGTATGCAGGCATCCTGGTTAGGGCTGCAGAAGGGTCTTTTGATCTTCTCGTCTCCAGCTTAGGAGGCCTGGCCAGATTTGAATCCAGGAGGCTGCTCTCTGCTCATGTCTTTTCTGAGCAAGGATAAGGAGAGAAAGTGGGAAAAGGAGGCTTCCCAAGTACTGGCCCCTCCATTTGACCTGGACCAGCAGAGGTCCAGGTCTTTGTTCTGCTTCCCTGTGTGACTACAGACAAGCGCATCCCTCTCTGGGGGAGCTGCCTGCATATCTGTGAGCATTTGGGATTGGAAGTGTCCCTGAACATGGCCCTTGGCAGCTCCAATGTCTGCTGACTGCTTCTCCACGCATTGACAGTCCCCAGGGAAACCATCCTGCCTGGGGGTTGAGTTAAAGTGACAGCGTGCAGAGGCAGCTGTCATGATAGCATGCATGGCTGTGAAGTTACTTGATCCCGYGCTAGAATCCAAATCTGCCAGCAACCACTTGGGCTGCGCTTCCTTAACTCCTCTGAGCCTCACTTTTCCCTCTCGGTCAAGGAAGAGTGGTGAGCGGGCCTCTTGGCCTGCAGCCGCTGCTCCTCCACCTGCAGCAGCTAGAGGGCGCCACTTCCTCACCAGCCCTGAGAAAAGAGACCCTGAGCTCGCCCCCACCCCTTGCTTGCCCCTGAAGTGGTTAGATCCTTGTGGTCTCTGGAGCCAGAACATCTGGGTTCAGATCCCGACTCTACGGTCTACTAAGCCATGTGACACTGAGCAAGTAACTTCATATCTCTTTGCTTGTTTTCACATATGGAAAATGATAAAAAATAATACCTACTTCCTAATACTTCTAAGATATCTGCATACATATATGTGTGTCTGTGTGCGCATGTGTGCACACACACCAACACTCAGAATAAAGCATGTACTTAGTAAAGTGGGATTGCTAAAATTATTATAAGATGTGGAAACTGAGACCCAGGAGGGGAGTGGGATCTGTCCAAGGCCAGGCATTGAGTTGGTGACTGAGAAGAGCCCTCGTGGCCCTCATGACTAAGAGGATGACCCCTGCTGCCCTGAGGTCTTTCTGTTCTGCCACTCTCCTCTTCCTGGTTCTGCCTCCCCCCCCCCCCCCCCCCCCCCCCCCCCCCCCCCCCCCCCCCCCCCCCCGCAACATGTTCTCTAGGACACGCCCCTGGGATTAGGTAGGAGGTGTCATGGGTGGGCCTCCCACCACCCATACCATGTGTCCCCTGCAGGCCACCGCCATGCACTCCGACTGCATCTTCAAGAAGGAGCAGGCCCTGTGCCTGGAGAAGATCCAGAGGGCCAATGACCTGCTGGGCYTCAACGATTCCTCCCCAGGTGAGCCGGATGGCTGGGAGGGCACGGTGTCCCCAGAACATGCAGGCTGGCCTTTGGCACCAGCTTCCTGGCCCCAGGTCCACCTTGGACGGGGTGGCAGAGGGTGCAGGTCTCTGGGAGATGGTGTCCTTCATCTGCCCTGAGCAGTGCGGCAGGGATTGCCCTGCTTGGAGCCAGTCTGTCCTGGGTGGCTCAGGGCTGTTCTGGTGGCTGGATGTGACCACCTTCTCTCACCTAGAGGCTATGATAGAGCTGGTGCTGGGCCGGGCAGTGGCTGTCAGAAAGCTTATTAGCAGGCCACAGGGSCCTGGTGGCAGCAGGGACGCAGCTGTTGCTGGCAGCTGGGCTGTAGAGCACCTGGTCAGCTTAGGGCAGAGCATAGGGTCATTTCCTGTCTTCTCTGCTCATTCCATCAGAAGCCAGGGGGAAAGGCAGCAAGCTCCCCAGTCTCAGAGACTGTCTGGTGCAGGGGTGGCCTCATYTGGGGAGGGGTACCATGCCCTGTGCTGGATGGAGCTACATARTGCAGGACATTTAGCATCCTTAGCTTGTCCTCTTAAATGTCCACAACACCCCTGATCCCAAAGATAAACAAAAAGTGCCTCCCAACATTTCACATGTCCCCAGGRACTGATGCAGCCCTGATGAGCCCCAGTGGTCCCATGTCACCCTCCCCTCCCAACTCCCCTGCTTTGCAGATGGGATCCCAGGCCCAAAGACTCCCTCTGCCTTCTGTCTCAGGGCCTTTCAGGGGCTGGCTGGGGCATTCCAGCGGCCCTTCCAGCCTCGCTCCTGCCTCGGTTGCTGGAGGGCTGGCTGCGGGTCTACCCMAGGGTGAGGCTGTCTGCTCAGACCAGAAGGATGCGCTTTTCCCCTCCAGATCTGCCCAGCTCTTCTGAGCACCATCTGTTTGAAGACTTTATTAATCTCTAGCCCAGTTAAATGTAGCGGTCCCACTGGGCCCAACTCCACAGCCAGCTGCTTCTCCGTGCAGACTGGCTGGGAAGGCACTGCTCCGGGCTGGGCCTGCCTGCCCCACTGACCAGCGGACACTGCTTAGCCCTAATTGATGGCAAAAGTGGATGCTGGGCCCCACCAACTAGGGACACTCAGGAAGGGACCTCAGATGGGACCCTCTTCCAGATGGGTGTGGTTGGAGGAAACTCAAAGAAATGAAGACTTGTCCCGACCCGGTCTTTCATGGAGAGTGGGCTGCTGAGGGCAGGCCATGTTCAGAGCCCATGTGGGGGTCTGGATTGCAGGTGTCCTGCCTCCCAGCCCAGAGCCATTGTTCCTGCATCCAGGTCTCAGGGTGGAGCCGCACAGGGGTCCAGGAGGCAAGGGTAGAGGTTGAGGGTGGGGCCAGGGCAGGGACTGCAGGGAGATGACACCCATCTATTGAGCCCTGGGCTGAGAGAGGACAAGACAGGCTTGCCCATAGCGGTGACCTGGCTGAAGCAAGACAGAGACAGATGTGGGGACAGTCACCATTCTGGGACGGGCTGTCTAGTGCTGGGGAGTGTGCTCAGGATGGGAAAGAGGTGAGTCCTCCGTGATGAGATGGGGAGGCGCTGCGGGGGAAGGTGGCGTTGAACCGAGATCCTTGGTTTCCAAACCTGGCTGCACGTCAGGATTGCCAGGAGAGCTTTTAGAAGAAGGTGCTCAAACCACGATCCTGCAGCTTCAGTCAGAACCTCACGCAGTTTCTGTCAGGTTCAGAAGCTCCCAGCAGGTTCAAGTGAGAAGCTAAAGCTGAGAACCCCTGAGCTGGGCCCCCAGGATGGGTGGGCATTTGACCACAGCTGAGAACCGAGAGTGGGTGAATCAGGCGAAGGGAGTCATAGGAACAACAGGCCAGGGGGCAGGTGCCTGACCTCTGGGGGGACGGAGTGCCCCTGTTTGCAGCCCCRTCTGGGGTGTGGGGAGGAGCCATCCTGGGGGCTGGCTGTCCCAGGGAGTGAGTGTCTGCACATTTCAAGTCCATTTCCACTGGAGGCGGAGGTAGGGGCACAGCTGTGGCCAGTCCCCACTGGGTGAGAATCCYTCCCCAGGACCCCATCGGGCCCTCCTCAGGGACCCTGTGGAGCAGCAGTGACACAGGTCACTCCCAGACCTGAACTTGGGTGGGGGACCTGAAGCCCGTAGAGGACACTCACTGGCCCCCCACACCCAGCTCATTCGTTCATCCACTCCCTGGCTCCGCTCTCTCATCTTTCCTGCACTCTTGGACTCACAGGAGAAGCTGAAATCTTAGGTGTCTGGCCTGGGTGGAGTGAGGGCAAGGCCAGGGTCAGGGAATGCAGGCASACATGAGAGCCCTGAAGTCAAGTTCAGAGAGGTTGGAGTCAGTGGGGAGAGCTGGAGCCCGTGGACTGGGGATTCAGGGGAGGAGAAGGCRCCTCTCACGGGCAGGTGAAGGTAGGGAAGAGCAGGCCAGGCCTAGAGGGGGCAGGGTGTGAAGGGTTCTTCAAGAGTGAGGAGGGCACAGGTCTCTTCTGAGGGAGGGAAGGAGGGATGGAGAAAGGGAGAGAGACAGAGAGAGAGAGAGAGAAAGAAGGCTTTGCCCTCCCATGGCCTGTTAGAGGAGAGAAGAGGATCTCACATCTCTCTCTTTGTCCTCCCTGAATCGAGGGGTAGAGCTTTACCGGATAGGGCTGACATTAAATTAAGCAGAAGGAAAGAAGAGCTATCAGGAAAGATGAAGCACTTTTCTGAGGGCCCAGCTAGACCACCGACTCTGTGGCTGTGGACCTTTTATAAAATGAAGATGGTGGAATGGGTCATGTTAATGGYCAAATACTTTATATAGACTTCCTTTATTCCAGTCACTGTGTGTGTGTGTGTTTTATTCAATCACCAAAGCAACCTAGCAGGCTGGTCGATTACTGCTCCTATTTGATACATAAGGAAGCTGAAGCATAAGGAGGTCATACGATTTGCTTAAGGTTGCCGTCCATTACGAGGCAGAGGTGGACCTTGAACCCAGACAGCCACTGGGACATAAAGCCTCAGAACCACATGCTTGGAACCTAGCACCGGTTCCCAGATCACCAACTGTGGGACCTTAGGAAAATACATCACACCTTAATTTTCTTGTCTGCAAAATGGAGGAAAAAATAATACCTACCACATAGGAATATTGGGCTAAGTGACGAAATCGGTGGGAAGGGCAGGGGATGGTGATGGGCTTTACTGAGCTCTCAGCAGAGACAACGGTTATTACGAGTAGTCATGCCACAACATGGGGGCCTCCAGGGTGACCCGTCTTCCTCTAGGTCTGAGTTCTGGGGAGTGTTGAGACTCCTCTAGGCATGCCATTTGGAATAATCCACAAAGGCTTTCTGGAAGAGCAGGGAGGGACTGGGGGCCAGCTTGGGCCTTGGAGGGAAGGAGGGAAGAGGTAGGAATGTGAGCCAGGTGGGGATGGCCTGGGTAAAGGTGGGAAGGGAAAGAGGTGGGTGGCAGGTGGCAGGGAGCGTCACAGCCAGCACTTAGAAGGCAGTCCTTGGGTTCTCCATGTACACCGCACCACGTCTGGGCAGTTTCTACCCCCTGCTTACAGATGAGGCTGTTCCCAAGAGCCTTCATTTCTCTGCCTGCTCACATCTAAGCCCACACAGAGAGGGTGGAGCTGCGGTGTGCATTCAGATGGTTCCAGAGCCACCTTTTCCACCACGGCGCTGCACTGCAGCTCAGGAGTGAGGAGGCACCYGCCCTTCTCTCCTTGTTGGAGGGAAAGGTCAGACAGCTGCGGAGGAAGTTGGAGCTGGAGAGTGGAGCTGGGAGAGGAGGGCCCTGGGTGTGTGCCCCAGGCCTGCCCTTTTCTTAGCTCTTGAAGGCTGGAGGGCGTTTGTTTTTATAAGAGCCAGGTTCTCAGCCTCCAGTGACCTGCTTGGGAAGGAGAGGGGCAGCGGGCAGGACGAGGGGAGGCCCACTGCGGGAGGCTGACCTCCAAGGAGCTTGCATCCGGCCTGTGGTCTGAAAAGCTTGTTTCCGCAGATTGAGGTTGGAGGACCCTCCTCAAGGGACTTTAGATCAGGCAGCCTCTGGGTTCCTTTCCAGGGCTTAAGTTCAAGGACAGTGTTATCCCACTGTCAGCTGCCAAACAAGGGCCTTAATTCCTCCTCAGGCCTGCTCCTAGGAGTGCCTTTGGCTGGAGCTGGGCTTCTTCGTGGCTCCAAATTAAACACACTTGTGGAATATGAACTGCAACCCCTGTTCGTGGTTCAGCCCATTAAAGCTCCCTGGGAGATTGCAAGATGCGGATGTCCAGAACTTCCCAGGCCCAGCCTCATCAGCATTTGTAGGGGCTACTCCACRTTGGTATGTGTTAAGATCCTTTAAGTTAATTCTGAAGAGTACCCAGGTTGAGAACTACTAGTTTTATTTGAGAACAGCACCCTCCAGGGTGTGCTATAATGTGAAGCCGGAGAGCAGCTCCCATGGCACAGGCCTGGCAGGGAGCCCATTCCCCGCAGAGACCAAAACCCGAGAGTCACCATGATTGACAGCTGTGCACTAGGCTATTAACCTGGGCTGGGGATGAATTGAGAGAGGCCAGCCCTCCCGCTGCACTGTCCCTGAGCAAGCACACCTGCAGAGAGGCTGGCCCAAGGGCAGCAGATGCCCTTGAAACACAACTGAACATGGGAAAACAAAGCCTGATGGCTTGCTCTGGTGTCTACGAGTGTGAACTCAGGGCAGTGCTTTTACACATGTGAGCACACACACATCTACCGGCATTGCTTGCTTGGTGGTAGTGAGACCCTCTGAGGAATGCCTTGTCTGTGATTTGGGGGTGGTGTGACGTGGGTGCTATAGGGCAGTCACTCCACGTGGCCCCTTGGTTCCACCAGGAGATGCCGTGACTACAGGAYGTATGAGGCTGCAGAGCAGGGCATACAGTTTTGCAGTAAACTTTGATAAGTAGAAGAATAGTCTATAATGATGATACTGATTATAGTACAGCAAATATGAAAACAAGTAGCAAAGCTGTCTAT